TATCAATAAGTATAAAAAATTATTATTATTTCTGAGAATAATTTTATGGTTTAGCATCTAATAATGTGTAGAAAAATTCAATTCATAATATAATTAGGGTAACAAAGTATGTATCGACTTTTACTTGTTATAAAGAAAGTTGCTATGAAAGCATGGTAAGAAAAAATGTTACTAAGTTGCAAATTTCAAGCATAACTTTAAAATATTCCAATATGTTTATAACAACTTTAAGGAATTATTTTTAGAGAAGTATCTTTGTTCAAAAAATTAAGTAAGTTAGAGGTACTAGGTTATTTTTTGAATTTTTATTGTTGTTTTGACACGGTTTATCCTTTGTTAATATTCAAAAAGAACTTCGCCGATGCGTTTATCGAATGTGACGTACGGTATACACTGGAAATTATATCCGATATCCCACAAATATAACCTCGTATGCGTTCGCAAAACGCAACTAAGAAAACATGTGGAAATATAAATATAAAAAAAACACTTGATGTTTATGATAATAATACTTTTATGCTTGTTTAGGAAAATCTATGAAAAAAAAAATCCAAGTATCATATTAATTATTTTAAAATTTCGTGTTTACTACATAATGGTAACATAAGGAAATGATAATTATACTTTGTTTGGGTAATAAATAACTTTATTAAATTTTTTTACATAGTTACCTGCTTGACAACATACAATATGTGACTCTTAGACAGAAATAAAGGCAAAAATATATTGAGAGGTAAATATCATAGCAAGGTTTATTAAATAATATGATATCAATTGAAAAATTTACTCTCCTATAGCCTGGCTAAAATAGAAGACTTTGTAAACAGTTCTAATTTCTAATAATAATTTTGCACTTATATATATATATATATATATATATATATATATATATATATATATATATATATATATATATATATATATATATATATATATATATATATATATATATATATTTATATATATATATATATATATATGTATATATATATATATATATATATATATATATATATATATATATATATATATATATATATATATATATATATATATATATATATATATATATATATATATATATATATATATATATATATATATATATATATATATATATATATATATATATACATTTATTAATCCTATTTTTTGCCTATAACGCTGTCATATTTTATCTGTATAGACTTTTATTATAAAGGTATATTTATTGGCTTTAGTACATACATCTTTAATAATACTGTTATATCGACTAATGGCTTGGCATGCGGTTGCAATATTCAATTTTTTTAAATATTAAAATAATGAATTTAAGGACTCAGTGAAAAGGTTGTTATACATTTATATATGTATGGTAATCATCTAACTTAATCTGTTGATTGTATTGTCCAATGTCGACAGTATTGTAATAGTTGTTTGCAGTAAAGTTTTTTTTAACTTAAAATTCATAAGCTACTTCAATGGGAATTAAATCAGGTGAGAGTGTTTGCTATTCAAATAATTGAGTTTTCGTGCTGGTAAACCATGAGAATTTATAGAGCGAAGTCAAATAGACTTTGCTCTATGAATTAGAGCGTTATCTTGCTGAAAAATAAAATTAGTTTTACTAAATTTTTGCAAAATATCATTCAAATGACCATTTAACAAATTTCTATATAATTCAGCATTTAATATAGTACTAAGAAAGCCAATCAAAGTTTTTCAAAAATAACTAAACTTACCCCAAATCATTACTTCTCCGCCTTCCATAGCCCTTCTTTATGAAAATATTTTCTCTTTTTTATGTCATACCAGAAGTAATTAAAGCCATCTGGACCATCAAGATTGAATTTTTTTCTATAAAGTTAAAAATAAAGTCGTTTTTAGTGTGCATGTGTGTGTGTATGTGTGTATGCATGTTTCTTTTCGTGTTTCGTATAACCATAAAATCAGTTTTATTTTACCACGTGTTCTCGGAATTGTGAAAAGTGAAATGTGATGATAAAAGTAAAATAACTTAGGCGAGACCACTTTTTAAAGATCTTATATAAAACGACAAATTCCTATTGGCTAGATGACTTAACCTCAGAGATATGTTTTTGAAAGTGAACTAACTTAGGCGAGACTACCGTGTAAGACTCTTATAAAAAAACGACAAATTCCTATTGGCTAGATTACTTAAAACTAAAGCTGTGATGATAAAAGTGAAATAACTTAGGCGAGACCACTTTTTAAAGATCTTATATAAAACGACAAATTCCTATTGGCTAGATGACTTAACCTCAGGGATATGTTTTTGAAAGTGAACTAACTTAGGCAAGACTACTTTGTAAAGATCTTATATAAAACGACAAATTCCTATTGGCTAGATTACTTAAAATTAAAGCTGTGATGATAAAAGTGAAATAACTTAGGCGAGACCACTTTTTAAAGATCTTATATAAAACGACAAATTCCTATTGGCTAGATGACTTAACCTCAGAGATATGTTCTTGAAAGTGAACTAACTTAGGCGAGACTACCGTGTAAGACTCTTATTTTTAAAAAAAAGGGAAATAACTTAGGCGAGACCACTTTTTAAAGATCTTATATAAAACGACAAATTCCTATTGGCTAGATGACTTAACCTCAGGGATATGTTTTTGAAAGTGAACTAACTTAGGCAAGACTACTTTGTAAAGATCTTATATAAAACGACAAATTCCTATTGGCTAGATTACTTAAAATTAAAGCTGTGATGATAAAAGTGAAATAACTTAGGCGAGACCACTTTTTAAAGATCTTAAATAAAACGACAAATTCCTATTGGCTAGATGACTTAACCTCAGGGATATGTTTTTGAAAGTGAACTAACTTAGGCGAGACTACCGTGTAAGACTCTTATAAAAAA